TCAGTGCTTCCAACCCCCATTAAAAACTAACACTGACCGTTAGAATATTCACATTACTGTTAACATTTTTAACGGTAAGAGGTAACATGGCTGCGGTTTAACATTTCCAAGGCAACCTTGAATCTGAAGAAACTTATGGGACAACAATTCTCCTGAGTGAAAACTTTTAGGGTAAATTTGCACCTTAACCCTTATTTAAGTCAATAAAAAAGCTCCAATTCAGAATGTATTATTTAAACCAGAACAAAAGCTCACCGGTGTGATGAACCCATTTGCTGTAACAATTAGAGGATGGTTGTGATCCTTTACAAATCTTGTAACAACCCATTTTCCAGATTTTTCCAACTTCACTAAAATTGTTGCCTTGCAACCTTCTCGAGCACTTGGCCTTGGCTTTTTGTCTGGTCCAATTGTGCCCTTACAATTTGGAGAGAAACCTTGTTTGTTACATCCAAGTCGACGGGCAAGAGTCCTACCATCTACACCTGAACGGCGACGTTGCATGATACGTACTACAAATCCCACCCGTCTAGCATATTCAACATAGTATTTCCTGGCATCTTCTTCAGAATTAAACTCCATGCCCACATAGGGTTCTTGAAATTCAATTCCACCTAATATGCTTGTACTCGTTTCTACAGATCCTTGTTCTCCATCAGTTCCCTTGTCCTCCACTGTCACAAAAATCCACAAGAATTCCAGTTATAAACATTGACCTAAAATAGTTCAATTTGTCATGATATAAAAATTTTCAGCTTCTATTCAGCAGATAAATCACCAGGCTACCAAATAAATCAAACCATAATTTCATAATATATTGATGCAAAAGACTGATTTCACAAAAATTACAAGAAATTAAAGTTTCACTATTAAGAAAACAAAACAAGGTGCCCTGTGTGTTGCATGGAGTTAAAAAATGAGTCATACTATTCATAACTAAGGAATATTATGGCTGCTATAGATTATGCACATGCACACAACTTAGTCAAAAACTTTGTAGAAAGTAACGGTAATAACAATAAAACGTTCACATCGCATATACACTTTTAACCTCAATGCCAGTGTTAAACCAAAAGAAATATAGAAAGCAAGAGAGGGCAGGATCAATAAGATGCAAAATATCTAAAAAAACAATTGTTTCCCAAAATAACTTTAAAAGGTTTGAACCCCACAAAACGATGGCCAAAGTGCACCATGTACACAAGTGGTGTAATAGAAACTAGGCCAGGCCTATTAATCCCAAGAACCACGGTGTTAGATCAGGGTATTGATGAGCCATTATGATTGAGGCTCCTACGTTGCATATAAACTGCCTTCTTGAGTTGAATACAACCAAGCAATTTAGCCAGATTTCTCTACACATGGAATCTAAAGGCAGCAAGGTAAGGTTTCGTGACGATACAGCCACTATCAAGCTAGACTCCTTGAAGAGTTGAGACCTTATGATGGATCTATAAAGACGTTTTGTGACAATACAACCACTATCAAGATTGTGAAAAATCCAGTGCATCATGCTAAGATGAAGCATGTTGAGATAGACCAGCATTTCATCAGAGAAAAGATAGAAGCCAAGCAGATCGATGTCATATATACATCATCAAATCAACAAGTTGCAGATATACTAACCAAAGCCTTGTCAACTACAAAGTTTGATAGAAGCCAAGCAGATCGATGTCATGTATACATCATCAAATCAACAAGTTGCAGATACACTAACCAAAGCCTTGTCAACTACAAAGTTTGAAGGATTCCCAAGCAGGCTAGGAATGAAGAACATCTATTCTCCAACTTGAGGGGGATGTTAGAAGTAGCAAGCCCAAGACCATCTAAATGGGCCTAGTTATTTACCTTTATTAGTTTATTTAAAATTTAATTAGGTAGTTCTAGTATAAATCTGATTAGTATTTATCTTTATCTAGATTTATCTTGATGTGTCTTAGATTTACCCTAGAAGCCTCTATTTATGTATTAACTTTCATCAATAATAAAGCAGAAACGGAGGAGTTAATTACTCAGTGCATTCTTCGTCAAATATGATCAAATTTACAGGGTCGAAAGACCCTGTTAAGGAAGGAAACTGCCGTGGTAAAAAATATGGGAAGGTAAGAAATGATTTGATGGTTCAATGTCATTGCATCATCATGGTGCTATCATAATTTAACACCAATAGACTAGGTGTGCCATACAAATAGAAACTTAGTTATCTCTCAAATAATATATGAGTTTATTTATTAGCATGTGTGAGATCAAGAATCATCCTAACAAACCCCCCCCCCCCCCCAAAAAAAAAAAAAAAAGAAAAGAGGAAAACAGGGAAGAAATAATGTAAATTGGTTCCAAAAAGCAACCCAATCTCTTTACATATAAGATAAAGGGCACTATGGAAAAAACTTCCATCAGCTGAAACTCATAAGAAAGCTAAGAAACCAGCCTGTCCTACTAAAATTAAATATGTGTATTCTCCAACTGAAACACCTAACACTCCAGAAGAGAGAACAAAACTTCAATGCTCTTATTCTCCTTTTAGTCCCAAACTTCCATAAGATAGAGCAGAAGATCTCCAGTTTCAGTCAAAATCTTCCTGCAAATTTCCAAGCTACCTCACAGTGCATAAAGCCGAAAAGATAAGATTATTTTGTAACTTCTGTGGCAAATAACTCCCACAATCATGCATAAAGAGCCAAAGTCCTAGCTAAAGAAGTGTTGACAAGTCATTTATTTTTATAAAAATCCTATCAGTTGGAAAAGGATAAGCTTATAAATACCTCTTTAATAGAGAGCAAGAGTTGAAAATTGACACTGAGATTGAAGCTAAGTTTCAAACGAATGTGCAAATGAAAAAGTTAAATCCAAGTTCTTCCTATCCTCTATTCTTCTGTCATTTTCCATTACTGCTCAAACTGTTGCTAATTCTCATTGTTTAGAGCAGAACAACAGCCTCCTATATTTTCCCTTCTTGTTTATTTTAATAGAAGACATTCAGAATCCACAGGGTCATCAATATGTACCCAAAGCCTTCACTTGCTTTTGCAGCAATAACAGCCAAACCAGACCATGTATATCGCATACCATGACCCAGCCAAAAAATTTCACAATAAGTTCCTTAGCATCTGCTACTGTTTCTCCTTGTAGATATCTGTCTTATCACTCATCAGTGAATATGTTAATAGACACTCATTATTCTTTAAATATGAATCTTAACATCAGTTTCTAAAAATTTGTCCAATGCTACCAATATGCACTCAAGCACTTCAATGTTGACAATCGATAAAAAGATTGAAATTACTTATCTTCTATATGATAAAATAGTCAAAGTCAAATTTCCCTTGCAAAATCTACAACTTTAAAAGGAAATAATTTCAGTTCAGAAAACTACCCCTTCCTGGGGGCAAGAAAACAGTTAACAAGAGATAATAAGTTAGAATGACTACACCAAATTACCCAAAATATCTCAAACACCACAATCTTAGAAATCTTACTCCTAAACTTCAGGTACCAAAAACACATCATATTCATAACACACTAATCAATTTGATAAGCCTCAATAAATTCAATAATTTCCAACACCCACTGGTCAACAGAGAACTTTCTGTCTTGGTTCGAAATAGTTTTGAAGTAAAAGATTACCCACCCCATAACTGTCCCATAATAGCAATATCCAAGCAATTCTCTTCACATTAAGTTGTTACAGTACAAGCCTTTTTCTTGGGAGGGAAAAAAAACACAGCTACAAGGAAGTGAAGGATTCCCACTAAGAGGCCATGCTAGCAAACAGTACATAAGGTGCAAAAATATGATTGTGCCAGTGACCGTCTGTATATTTGAAAACGGAAACCGAACCGAAAATAACAAACCAAAACACCATTACTTACTGAGAATAGAAATGGAAGATCCTTCCGCTTTGCAACGTTAGGCGATATTTTACTGCGAAGCTTCAAAAGAACTCAATAAAAGTCGAAGAGAGAGAGAGAGGTTTACAGTAGAATGAAAGGAGGGCAGAGGATAAAAACGACACCATATGATTTCGCATTTGGGCTGTCTCCAGTTGGCCTGCAAGGTAAGAAACGTTGACCGTTAGTTAGATCTAACGGTGGATAAATATAAATATAACGACGTCGTTTTTCCTGAGAGATCCTCGCCCTTCAATGTTCTAGAAAATCATGACCGTTGGTTCACAAACAAAGGTAAAAACCCAGTCACTTGCTCCTTTCTTCCTCCGGCGCTGGAAAGGATTGTGGTGGTATGTGAAGGCTTTCTCGGCGTGAAAGCTCGACGGAGGGAGGTTTTCTGGGTTCGAATGCTACGGCAGAGAAAGAATAAAAAATCGTCGACTAAGTACTGAAGAAAACGAAATGTGGACGAACGAGGCTATTTGGCTCGATGTTAGGGTTTAAAGAGTGACAAAATTTAGAGGAAGAACAGAGCAAGTGAGAAAGCATCAATGGTTTGCTAATGTAATTTTCCCCCTCCTCAGCTATTGTTTGGATTGGTTTCTGGTCTTTTGGAGTTTTGAAATTTACCTTCTTTTTTTTTTTTTATAGTGCAGAATCAATCAAAGAAAGTATTTTTTTGGTGTTATGTTAGATTAGATGAATACTCTGAGAGTTTTGCTGCTGTTAGGCAAAGTTATTTTTTATGTTGAATAGTGCTTGATGGGTGCGACAGGGGGGAAAAAAACTTTAGATTGGTGACTGATATAAGGCACATTTTTAGTCATATTGATCATTGGTGATTGCTGTTTTGTGTGATTATTGTAAACGTTTTCTTGGTGATTGGTGTCATTGGATAATTTTTTTCCTTGTGCTGGATAATGCTGAATGATGTTTTATTGTGATTGTCTTCTGTATTGCTTTGTTATGTTGGATAATGGTAGTGCCTAATGACTTTATAAATTGTTGAATTGGTTTTTTTCCCTTTCTCAAGGTGAATGTAAAATTTTGAAATATTGAATGAGCTTATAAATCATTGAATGTATGCATATCTTTTTGAAGGGGAATAAAAATTCCGTTCAATTACAGCAACATTTTAAGCAATATCCAAATTTTAACGCAAAAAATGGTAAAAATGAATGTTTGAATGTCAAATAAAATAATGCACTTGTAATCATCTTGTGTAGGTTTGATTAGATGGATACAAATTTAACCCCAAGATTGGGACTTGAATTTGAAACTTTGGAAGAAGCATGGCAATATTGGTCGAGTTATGGTGGCAAAACTGGATTTGGTGTTAGAAAGCAGTATTTCAGCAAGAGTAGGAAGGATGGCACCATTACTTCATATAAATATGTGTGTTGCAAGGAAGGTGTACGAAGACCAGATAAAAGAGATTATAAAACAATCCATCCTCGACCAGAGACAAGAACAGGATGTAAAGCAAGAATGACTGTGTCACGCATAAATGGAAAATATAGAATTGTTGACTTTGTTGACGAGCATAATCATCCGCTTCATTTTCCAGAAACAGTGCATTTGAAAGCATCCCAACGGAAAGAGAATGAGGTTCAAGCACACTAACTTGAAAATATTCTAAATTAATGTGCACCGTTTAATAATAGGATATTTCATTTGTCCTATTTTCTTTACTTTTTTACTCTTGGAATGAGGGAAAAAAATAAATGTTCATGACTGATAATTGAATGCAACTTTTTAGATTAGAGAACCAATTTTTCACAATGTATATAATATGTGCTGCATTTTGATGAATGATGACATTCAATCCACCCCAAGCGTCACACGCCCCTAGATCAGCATGAGTGCAGCATGGATTAGAATTAACTCATAAAATTTCCTGATTTTCTTATTTTTGGCATTGGTTTGCTAATGGCAGTTCCAAACTATCTGAACCCTTAAATCTTGAACTGGTCAGTGCTGCTTTGTGAATGAAATGTTTGGTCATTTACTCTTTACTGAGCTCAGTGATTATTCCTATTATATGATTATGGATATGTACTTAGTCAACACTTAACAGAGTGAGAAAATATGCACTTTGGATTTATTATCTTCATCCTTTAGATTGTTCTGACCAATATTCAAATCTGCTGTGTATAGAGTATCCTGAATCTCAGCATGTAGAATGTGCTCAGATTTCTCTTGCCCAAGTGTTTTCGTACTTTCCATAACTTGGGAGTCTTTTACTTGATGGGCCTGCATTAATGTTTGGATAGACTCTGCGTTTCTAAGTGATGGTTTTGCCAATCACCTTATCCTTCTTCCTGAGCCTTTTAACTACATGTAGTTTAAAATGAAAGTTTGAGCTTAGTCTATTTGGCCTCGAATGGCTACTTAAATTGAGAGCACTTCTGGCCACGAAGTGAGATTCATCAGTTTTTCAGTGAGAACATCTCTCTCATTAATCACATGCAAATATCCTTGTTTTTTCTCGTATGTTCTGATTGATGTAAAATTTCCATTTTGTAGTCAGACAGTGACTTGTGAATTTCTCCAGGAGAATTGGAAAAGCATTGTTGCCCCTATCTTCTACTAGTAAATCAATTATGCACCCTTTACAAATGCTAATCTTAGCCCTGTTTAGCAAATCCTTAAATAATCTGCTGACTCCCTATCTTGAGAAGGATAAATGTATGGTGCCTATGCGTGATGCTTCATCTGCATATCAACACTGTTTGATTGTTGGGGCACAGAAACTATAAACTAATAATGATCGACCTCGGCACCCGGTTCATGTTGGACTGGATTGGGTGGCAGTGAGGGTAAGAAACTTATCAAGCAAGGAAGGACATGTCATCTAGAAGTTTAGTTTTCAATCCGCAAGCTCTAGTGTGGGTGAGAGACAGTCCTTGTTGGTTCATAATATTCTATGAAAAAGAAGATAAATGGCTGTGTTGCTTGCATTAGGGTGTGAAGCTCTCGCATAGATTCTGATAACTTAGTATGCATGTTCGGGTACATCTCTTGGGATCTGTCGGACTTACTAAAAATGTCATTTTATTTCTAAAAGTTTTTATGATTCCTGATGGAAGTTTATTATTATTAGGACTAACTTTGGAATGCATTTAAACGTGCTGTTCTTGGCCAGTTCTTTTGTTTGGTCAAGTTGACTAAGTGCCCAACAACAACAATAAGCCTTATCCTATTAGATGGGGTCGGCTACATGAATCACACGACGCCATTGTGTTCTATTAACAACCAAGTGCTTAGAAAGTGCCCCCAACCCCCCCTCGGGGCACGGCACAAAAGAAAAAGCGCAGAACATGCTTCCTTTATTTGCTTTTTGAATGAACGGATCTGTTTGTTAAGATGTTAATAATATACTCCCTCTGGTCTGATTTATAGGGAAACTTCTAGAAGTATTTTTGGTCCAAAATATAGGGTAACGCGGAATGTCAACAAACTCTCTCCCTATATTACCCCTTTCCTTGTTCTTATAATTATGCATTAGTGCTCTTGGAAGCTGGAAATCTGCTGATAATTACTTTTAATGAATAACGTCATACAAGGAAATAACTAGCATTTTTTGAGCTGATTAAGTATATAACCAATTTTCCCTAAGATGCGTGACATATTTGGGATATCCCAATATTTAAGACTAGAGAATTTTGTTGAATCAACTTCTTCATGCTTCTCATAGTTTTCTCTATGTTGTACTATTGTTATGTTATGTTTATAATGCATGTCTTTTTGCAACCATTTGGTATTCTCAGGATGAGAAAGATGTAAAAATCCGGGAATTGGCTGCCGAGTTACAGCGTGAGAGAAAGCGAAGAGCAGTTCTCCAACAACAGCTTGAGATAATTTTGAGAGATGTTGAGCAACATTCTGATAAAGTATCCAAAACCATTAATGATGCTCTTCAGAGAGTGAAAGAGGTTGAAGAGAAAGGGAATAGCACGTCACCCTCCTCAAAGCTTGATGCTGCTAAGTAATGCCAATTTGATTCATGTTTATACGAAAAGGGGTACATCATCTTGAAACGTAATACTTTTTCTACGGCTTGAAAACAATAGTTTTCAGCTAGTTCTTGTAGAAACAACACAAATATCCATATAATAATTTAATTTGCTGACTCTTTGTACCAGAATAAAGCATAAACTCAAAAAGATAGAAAAGCATATTTTGACCTTTTCGCAACCAAGAGGATGACCCATGGGCCATGGCTTAGTTTCCTTTCTTCTTTCTTGGCATCAATGGAGATGAACGAGAGGGATACCAAGAAATGGGATGAAAGATGTGTTAATCATGGCTTTAGGTTTGCTCAACCCCCTCTCCCCCCCCCCCCCCCAAAAAAAAAACTTAATTTAACTGACATCTCCAGCGGTTTTATTCATTAAAAACCAAGCAGCATATGCCTTACGCAACTATTTAACTATGCTCCAGATTCTCATGCTATGCGTATGCATAAAACTAAGCATTAGCTATATGTAAATGCACACATAACTAATTAATTTATTTTATCCATATATTTAGGAATATGACAGTTAAGTTAATAATTTTGTATTGATGTATATCAAATTAAATTTGGTCCTAAAAAATTTCATCTCCGTGGCAAGTACTTTATTTTTTGGACCATTGGGGGCAAGTTAAATGCTTGAAATAGCTAGGAAGAACAAACTTACAGAACTTTTCATCAATAAAGTTGGTTTTATGGCAGATCATAAGGTCATTGACGTGTTTATGGGAAGTTTGAAATAAGGAAACACTCGTACATCTTAGAATTTACTACTTGACGCCTCCAAATGATACACTTGAAGGTCAACACATCAAAGGCTTTTTTTTTTTTTTTTTTGCACTAAGGTTTTTAATTGCATATGTGTATTAGTTTTTTATAAGCAAAATTATGTACTTAGTTCTCCAACTTTATAAAAGATTTTAGTTACGCCCTTTAATTATAAAAGGACTGAAGTATATGGTGCATCAAGTTTTAGTTTTGCATTCTAAATTTAAAAAGTATGTTTTTAGTTCCTTAATCTCACTAACAAAAAAAGCTAACTTTGCAAT